TTCGGTTTATCTGACAGTCTGCCACGTCCACCAGTCTGACAATTGCTACACTTGACGGTCTACCGCGATGTTTCGGTTTATCTGACAGTCTGCCACGTCCACCAGTCTGACAATTGCTACACTTGACGGTCTACCGCGATGTTTCGGTTTATCTGACAGTCTGCCACGTCCACCAGTCTGACAATTGCTCCACTTGACGCGCTATTAGACCCTAATCCTAATCCAGTCCCTAGCCCCCAACCCTAATCCAGACCCTACCCCCTCCCTAAATCCTAACCAATTCACACAAGCCTGAGCATCAAGCACACGGCACAGGTAGACCATGGTCAGTCAGATGGACCGTTACGTTGGACCGGCACTTGGGAATCGAAGTGACGTCGCCCGACAGACACAGGCCAAGTCTAAACGTCAGCTCACCACTATCACCCACAACGAAATCGATAAAGATGCACACGACGACACATTTGCACGCAATAAAACTTGTCATTATTCGGACATTTAGAGAGAGGAGGAGGAGGGCTAGATAGGGGAGAGGAGGGGGAGAGGAGGGGAGAGGAGAGGGAAAGGAGGGCCGATGGTGAGGTGTAAGAGGGATGGGTGAACCAGAAAAATCGATAGAGGGGAACACGATAGGATAGATACGGCCAATGATCTGGATACGGCCAGGCGGTGTGGGTTATTTATGAATCACGCAGACTACCATGCAAAAGGAACGACATAAATTTCGTTGGATTTTTTTTTATTGGTGTGTGTAGATGTTTTACACCCCCATCGACACAATTTGAATCATTTAGGAGAAGGACTTCGACCCTGTCTGTCAGGGCCAACCCGGGTAGAGACTGATAGGTATAAAACGTCTCAACAGAAAGATCAAGGTACTCGATAAAAATTCTTCCTACATGGGAAACGAACTCCAGCTTCATGCGTGCCACAGCGAAGCGCCTAACCGCCACACAGGAGACCGGTTACGAACGATCATCACACCGTATCTGATGAAGAAAAAGTATAAGAAGTTTTTTCATACTATTTTTTGTCTTTAATTAAACTTCTTTCTCGACACAATTATATATATATATCATTTAGAAGACGGGCTGCTCAATCCCTGTCGGTCAGGGCCAGTCAGGGCAGAGTGGGATACACGGGAAAGCAACTGATCTGATGTTTAATTTTAGTGGCTCTAAGAATTTTACAGCCAGTGTGCCAGGGGTGACCAATACTCAGATAAGTGGTTATTTATACCACAACAATAGATTACATCAAAGA